TGCAACATCCACAAATGTTGCATGAAAAATTTGACCAGTTTCAAATTTGAACCAACAACACCCAACATGTTGCAACATGTCGCAACACGTCGCAACAGGGTGGTTAAACACGCGCAACATGTTACGCCCAACAATGTTGCGATATGTTGCGTTGAAATGTCGCGATCGTTTGACCGGGGCTTTACGTAACACCCGAGTTGTTGAAAAAAAAGGTTGCTTTGAAGTTCTGAGACATTTTTTAACACTGACGACTGAACAAAAGGATTGTTGTTGATACCCCGCAGGAAATTGGGAGTTTCTTGTTAGAGGCTATAATTTGAAGGTTTCCTTTTTTGTGTGAAAGATAAAAACTGAGGAAGCAAAGAAAAAGTTGTAGTTGCAAATTGGTCAAAAGTCACAGAAAAAGACAAAAAGTCTGGCCGCATAAACACTAGGGGTGTTTCCCGGGGGTGTTCTCCAGCCCAGCCCACACGAATCCTACGACAGTGTAAATAATTTTGCTCTTCAAGAAAGCGAGAACCTATACCTCAACACCGCCAATCGTTAAATAAAACTCGTTTTTTTTCTTTTATCTCCACACAGCACTCTTGGCGATTCTTGGAAAAGAGATGGCCTGCCTCTAAATCCTGTTCTTTCCGATGAAGGCCTTAGAAAAATATCCTCCAAATTCGACGCGTCCATCCCTCAGGTGGTTCTCAAATGGTCATTAGAGAACGATGTTATTGTCATTCCCCGCTCTCGCAATCCGAATCACATCAAAACAAACTTGCATTTGGCTCACGTTCTGCTCACCGAAGATGACCGACAGTACATCGAGGATCTTGATGGAAAGATAATCGTGCCCAACGACAATCCTCCGTTCGACTCCCGATCAGAGCCGAGCATTTCCGGTCAACAAGGTACCGACGAGGAGAGGATCTCAGAGCAGAAAACAGACAATATCAATGATAAAGTCGTTTTCGTAGAGAGAGTTAATCCCGAAGATTCTACGTTGTACTTGAGTTCAGATGATCATTGGATTTACGCGTTTGACGCCGCCACGGGAAAGTTGAAATGGAAATATGGAACTGCGGATGAAGGTGGTTCAAAATGCGTTTTCAACTCTGATGAGACGGTTGTGTACTGCGGAACTGACGACAAGTCACTGCGCGCGCTCAACGCTGCCGACGGTAGCCTTATTTGGAAGTTTTCCACAGGAGGAGCGGTGACGTCGTCAACCCGAGTTGGTGCCGACGGCAGCCTCAATTTCTAAGTGGCTGTGCTCTGTTTTTCATTGTTATTTTTTCACATTGCATGTATTTATTTTTATTGTAATTTTTCTGGGCACGAAATAAAGATTGTTGTTGTTGTTGTTGTTGTTGAAGACTCGGCAAATGCTTTCTGTTCCTCGATGGCCAAACTGGTGAAACAATTTGGAAGTACGAGACGGCAGGACCTGTGTTCTCTTCTCCCACAGTTAGCCATGATAGCAAGGCTGTGTTTTTCTGTTCTTTTGTTGCAAACTTCTTTGCTTTTAACACTGAGGACGGTCGGCAGCTTTGGATGTTTGAGGGCGACTCCGCGTTTCAATCATCGCCAGCTGTCAGTAAACTAGACGGGACTCTTTTTGTCGGATCTTCACAAGGAAATATTTACGCGATTGATTCCTCAAATGGACAAGTAAAGTGGACAAGGGAAGGTGAGACTACGGAAACTAACTTGTTTTTTCATATAAATATTGCAAAAGTACAGTTTGATCCAACATCTACTCTTTAAATGCTTTAAGATGTTTCAGTTTAACATGTAAAGTTGTTTTTATTTAGGAATTGATCTCGATCTTTCTCATCTTATCAAAACTTTGGTTTGTTTCCCCTGATTTTATTTTGAGGAGTTTTTTTGACGTTTAAATGATCTCAAATAGAATTACGAGCTTTAAGTAAAGAATAATTACCGGAAGCGGAAATAGAAATACCGTAGGTAACGTGTTAGGTAACGTAGACGTATAGAACACCGCGGCAAAACGTATGCGCATGCGTCAACTTCAGCATTTCCGGTTTGCCCGAAGTGTTCGGTGGTTCAGATTAATTTTGCTGTTCGCCTCGCGGTGTTTAAGCTTGTTGTTGTGAATCAGCAGCCACAGATGAAAGAAGAAAGGACCACAAA